CTTCTGCTCTGTATCTTCTTCCGAATCTTCATTCTTAGCGAATTCTGCTGCGCTTGATCTAACTGAATGTGTGCGCCCTTTAGTTGTCACCACTGCCCCGTTGCTCCCAGGGGAAGCGCAAGGCAATTCTAGTCGCCTCCTTTGCTAGTAGCGCGAAACAATAGTACCGGTAAGTAGTGGCAGAAGCTTTGCCGCCAATTTTTCTCTGAGAAGATGCGTCAGTCGTAGGTTTATGCCGTTTTGGACGAGCTTGACTGGACCATCCAAATGGTCACCGAACTCCTTGATTCCTTCGGAGGCCACGGCGTCGATATCGCCGGTCAGCCGCTCCGGCAGCGGCGACTTCATCAATTCGCGCCCCCTCGTTCGTCTTCGCTTCGTTGTCGACGTCGCAAAAACTCCTGGCTTCTTTTTAGACGTTTCAACATCCCGTTAGGGCAGGCACTGTCGGGCCACGCGCAGACGAACAGATAACTAGCCGTAACAAAGAGCTAAGCATGTCATACGAGATAATCACCACACTGAAGCCATAGAAACGAATGGTCGAACATGACCAAACGAAGGGGCAAAGGTTGCAGTGGGGCTAATAAAGAGCCAGGGATATATTGTGGCCGTTGCGTTTGCCTTTGTAAGTACAAGCGCTTTGCTAAACCATATATCAAACACGATAGTTGGTTATAGTGCGTCAATGAAACGTACCCATGTCCCTAACCAGGGTTCTTGGTTGCCTGATTTTGCTTAATCATTTTAGAATGATATAGCGAAAACATGGGGAAGTTATGATGATTGAGCAGTTGTCTACTGTTAAACAACTATTAACGAGACCACCAGCGATTCACAGTTGATGTCCAGAGCTCGGAAAAAATAGAATGAAACGGACCGGGCTTTGCAAGTTAAAAAAACATTAGAAAGAAATAACTTATCAAGTATTTGAAAAAAAAATTTAAACTAAGTTCGATGTGGAACAGTTTATTAAGAAATGATTCGGTTCTATAGCGTGTCTTGCTTAATTTCTAATGTAACACAATTGATAATAATGAAACATTGTTGGCAGCGGCCACTCGAGTGGCTTTTCCGATGGTTTCACTTAAGACATCTAACGCTTGCATAACATACTATTAAGAGATTAGCTCGTCCTTTAAGTGGACAGTTCACACTTGTGGCTACGTCTCCACTAAAGAAAGTAGCCGATCTCTACCATGCTAACGTGAACTATGTATTATAGGTAATTGAAAAAAAAGCTCATTGAACTTTTCTTTTTGTAGATTTTTATCGCACGATGCCTTCCCTAAGTAAAAGAATCTTCGTTTTCAGCAAAGGCGTTCTCCAACCTACGTTTTTAAAAAAAAAACTATTACGAGGCCGCTGGGAATTTTTATGTAGGCGGCTATCCAGAAGAGACTAATGGCTGAGGATTCCGTATCGCGGATTGCTGTGCACACTCATTTCTGGTTACGGTTATGTCCTCTTGTGCCAGTTTAACAGAGAAGCAGGAACGCTAGTTTTTAACAGTTTTACGCTTATACTTTAGCAGCTGCTGCGTGTCACCAAACGTCCTCCATCGTGTCGTTAAATACACGAATATTGCAAACTTCCCGAAAAAAAAAGGTTTAGTGAAGGACTGCACTGCAACATCTTTCCGACAGAACCTATTTGCTGCGTCCTATGGAATCGCAAGTCGTAGCGATCATCGCAATCGCAAAAAGTACCACATCGTTTTCTGCTGATCGCAAAAAATTCGCTCGGGTAGGCTTGTATATGCCGCTGTGATAACTTAGTGGATAACGTATTTACGTGCTAACTTTAGCGACGAGTTGTAACCTAGGTTCGAGCCCGGGCGTTGACAGAATTTGATTTCTGCTGGAAGCCAGCCAGCCAGCCAGCCAGCCAGCCAGCCATCTATCTCTCTGATGCAATATTCCTAACGGCGATACCAGATGTAAAACTCGAAACGTTGAAGTAGACTAATGTGTGTTCTGATGCTTACCGTTTTCTGTTTCTTTGAATGGAAGTACCCATGGATATTTTATTTTTGATCAAATATTCGGCGACTTCGTAAAATAATTCCTTTGTAGATGCTTGTTGTGGCCAATGGCGAGCGTTTCATTATTGAATGAAAGGAAACGGAAGGATGATTGCTTCTGCTAAATATTTCATGCGTGTACGAACAATTCCGAGGGCAGAGTTCAAAATTATGTCCTGTTTACTGCAGCACACTCGACACGGATGTCGGAAAATCTTGAAAAACGTATCACTGGTAAGCCTATAGATATACGAGAGGGTCAACAATTTTATGAGATACTTGCTGATTTTCCTACTAATTTGTGCTTCTTCTCTTTTGTCATACAAAACTAAAAGGAAATTGTTTAATAGCTTATTACAGGCTTATGAACCGTGAAAAAGGCAGAAAACAAAAGTTGGACAACAATTGGCTCATGTTTCTTTGTTTCACGCGCCAACAATTTGAAGGTGGCAGAGAGAATAAACACTGAGCGTTTATAGGTAGCTTCTGCAAGCGATGTTTCTGAAGTGTGAAAAAGCTGGGCGGTAAAGAACAGCGTGGCGAGCCTGCCGAGGAACTAGCTCACTTCCCAGCGAATAACCGCTTCCTACCATTGTACTGATGAGAGGAAGATAATTTGTACGTTGAATTACCAGTCCTCATGTTCCAGGCTTCGCTGCGTCAAGATTGCCTTAGCAGACAGTGGCGGTAGCGTATAACCTCTCTCACTTTTCCGAATGAAGGCTGCCAAGGAAGCTCGGGCTTACTAGCCGGCTGAACTACTTATAAAGCTTACAAAGGGGCTAAACTACCACTTTGTGGGTGAAGAGTTATAATCGCAATTTTGTTACTGTGGGAGCAGCAGAAGAATGACTAACATTAGCTTTGTTATCATTCTCGTCCTCGTAGCCATCTGGCGACTGTTATTGTTAATAATGATCGTTACGGTTATAATGACAGTGATGACGATGATAAAATACGGAGTGTGTTGGAATCCTCTGCATGGCCCTGGCCTATGAAGCGCTAATTTTTTTGTATAAACTCAGCACTAACTGGGTTAGTTCCAACTTGATCACGATCGTTTATTTCGAGTTAGCATAAGTTGTAGGTCGGAACAACAGCGGGAACGCAAAGATCAGGATGTGGCCTATGAATTATGGCACAATGTATGCGTGCTTCAGGCAGCGAAAAATAGATGGGCTGGAGAGGCCGCGTGTGTCTCACGACAACAGGATTCTGTTCCAAGCGGCGGCCCAAGTGTCAAAAGTGCACAAGTAAATGCGCGCATTCTAATATAATGTGGACAATTAACGTGGACAATGGGAATAATACAAAGATGTTTCCTCGTCCTTTGCCGTTTCTCCGGGGTGTTTCTTTACTGTTATAACAATATGAAGGCCGAACAGCTTTTTTGGCCTGCCGCCGATCAGAACCGAAACTCGGGATGCGGTAAAACGTACAAGGCTTAATGTGCTACGCGGGACAGAAGATCTGATTACGCCTGTCGAGTGTACGGATATAGGTGCCTCGCTGAGCGAATGGCTAGCGTACTAGCGCCGCTATCTCTCGAAGGAGCACCGGTGCGCTTCGTCATCTATTGCTGCAAGTGACAGTCACGGGTGCCACCATCTGCGGCCGAAAGACAGGGCATTGCTTTTGTACCCAACCGGCCTTACTTGCTACAATACGTCATTTGCAGATGTAAAAACAGATGGGAAAAGAGGGGCGAGGTCGACAAGAGTGGTCCTATGAAGCGTTTCTTGGTAGCTTTTGTGGATAAGGAGATCATTGAGGACGTGCTTGGTTTGTGCCACATATCCGAGTACCTTGCACTCATATGTCATCTTTGTGGTAATATATCCGATTATTCTTCAACGGCCTGAACTACCTCACGCTTACCCCTTTCGCCTACTGCTCCTGCTGCCGCAGTGCTAGTCGCGGTCGACAACCTTGCCACCCATATGCCTCTCATAAAAAAGGCTTCGAAGGTATGAACGTCTCTGCGTGTTTAGCATGTTTGCATAGAGCGCGCTGCTTACCCTTTAAGTTTCTTTTTGGCTTGATGCACCGTTTACTCTTCTGTCACCTGTCAATAGTAGCAGCAGTAGCCGTATGACCTGGCAATATGGGTAGAATCGGTCGACGGAAGCGACCGTCGCTGCGGTGCTTTCAGTTGCGGCCACTGTTATAATGCTGGGGGCACTGTGGCGCACTGGCTAGGCCCGGGCTGGATACTACTGAAGTGAAGGATGTGAACCAGAAGAAAGCACGAAAAGAGCGAAAACATTTGCTGAAAGGAGTCGAGAGAGTCGTGCGAATATAAGTAGGCGGAGGAAGAGGAGGTGCTATTAAAATGGGCCTGAAAGGATTTTGAGGGCCTGTGAAACTACAGGTAATTTTAAATCCTGAAGCTCTTCCGGGTGAACGAAAGCAAATTGAAGTTGTTGTATCGTTTGCATTAGCGGCTATCTGGATACAATCAGAAACTGTTGAAACATTCCGTGGATAATTTTTTATCGATAATGAGTAATATTTGTCCAACGATGACAGGTACCGACAGAGGCGATCAGGCAAAACGCTACCTTGGCGAACATTCTGAATGCTAGCGGCGTTTTGAACAGGACCTGTAAAATATAGGTTCAGGTTCCTTCTCGTCATTTGCATAATACTTTTTATCACTGAGGTGAAAAACAACGCACTGTTCGTAATTGTAAGATTGCCTATACAAGAATATCCCATTAATGATAGATCTTTATCTGTCAGTCGAAACTTCTAGATAGTATCCACTGCAATCGAACTTGTCATGTCCCAGTATCGCTGTGATGGTACTTCGGGCCGTCTCGTGCGGCGGGGGATCTAGTTACGCAGAGTATCATATAGGTTTGTATTCTATTTAGCGTGTGAAGTTACTATTTAGAACAGAGTTGAATTTTATCAGATTCAACTTATATCGTTTGATTTAGACTTTATAGAACATACATGTGTTTCCAAATTACAGTTTCCATCAAGCACAAGGCAAAATATCCATGCAGATCGAGAATATCTCTGATTAACCGGACTTACATCAGGTACGGTAAGTATAATTATTAGGGAATATCTAAGTTGCAGAAAGAAAGATGTTTATATTTTACCTCAGTTTCTGTTTCTACTTGAAGATATAGCTGGTGCACTTAGAAAGCGGTTAAATATTCAAAATTATCGGCAAAAACAGTCGGCGAACAAACCTGTATCAAATGAATCGTTCTCACTCAGTAAGCTTTCAGGACCGCATGAACACACCATCAGCCCCAGATGCCACGGGGAGGCAATAACTCTCATTATACGAAATCTCAACTAGCATACACTCTTGTCCTCAAGGAGAAAGACAAAACGCAGCTGAAATGATCGTGGTACATAGAGGTGGAATAACATATTTCTGGGGAATTATTTTACATTCTGGGTAGTTGGGCGTCGTATCGTGGGGAACAATCTTCCACTGCACGTTCTGATTACGCGATCACCGCCCTATTCTGGCTCAGCGACATCTGTAATGCATCAGAGACTTAATTAAGCCATACTACTGACAACTATTTGGGTTTATCTATGGCAATAAATAACGGAATATTCTTATTAAGACACTTTGTTATCTTTCGGCTAATTATTTCTGGGTAATAGTAAAATCAATGTTAATATTAATTGAAATAAGCCCGCGCTTATGAAGATTTTGTCTCATCTCTAATTTAAACCAGACGTATTAAAATAATAGGCGCTCGTCTTTGAGCAACTGTGTGTATGTAAGCTATGCAGAGGACGCATAAAAATGCTAAGCTATATCACCGAGTGTCGTTCAGCAATAGAAGTCTCTGCTGTGTATGTCGAAATTTGCCGCTGGTAAATATCTAAGTAACGTGTTTTTCCGGCAGCTTCATTCAAAATAAAGTCTAAAAAATGTACAGTGGTCCCCCTCTGTTCTCTAGCGTTTAGAACTGGGTGACTGACAGTGAAAATTTACCGTTATACGTTATCGTTAGAAAATTTCCTTTTATATCGATATGGTAGAGACATTTAGATAAATACAATTAGAAAAAAATAAACATAATCACTTTTGTCTTGATTATTTTAATAGAACCTATATGTTATTCATATAATATATCTAACCAGCAGCACGGCACCGTCATTGTTGGTCAAATAGAGGTAAATAATAACAAATAGGCGATACGTACGGCGACATTTTAATTGGCATGCCGTACCAATATTTGGGTAGTGTTAATCGCGTACAGGCCGCCCGGCCCCAAGGGACAGGCTTAAAGCTTTTTAATAATTCTGCTAAATTTTACAGCAACGCAGCCCGTCGGCGCGAACGGCTCTTTGCGCGTCCAACGACGAGATCGATAAATCATTCGTTGACTTTTTCCAATGAGTTTCGTCGGTGTCGTGTCTAGGGGAGAAAGCAGTAATCGTACTTCTGAAATAGCGATAGACGTCTATCGCTGAACATTGATACAGGCAGTAGCATATATTGATAGAAGCCACTGCCAACGCAAGTTCTAATGCAAGTTGAATGGCTCGATTGAAATTCCAAATGAGATCAACGTGTTATTTTCATCCACAGCTTTATGTTGTCTCACGAATCTTTGCGTCTAGACTTCTCCTATGGCTGACAGGATCCTGATCCTTTGACAGATTGATAGTTAGTACCTGATGAGTGGCGCTTACCGGCGGACGGAAATTCTGACACACATATCTGTAAGCGCTCGTGTCGCGTCGTTCCCATCGAACAATGCCGCATTCGCTGCACCCTACGGTTCGAAGACGTCAGTTGAGAACCAATGGCCGGCTATCGGTCTCAGCCGTTCCTATAGTGCAACTAACATAATTTTCCACATAAACTTATGTGGAAGATGCCGTCTATTCGACGGACGGTCAAGACTGAGGAGAACATCTTCCGTAAGCTCATCAAGCCTATCTGACATGACAATATTGCTATAGTCCTGGTCTCCGAATGGTTTGACACATCAATAAGAGATTCTATTGAGTGTAATAATGTTGTTTGTTGTGTATGAGGCTGCCTCACACAGGTGCTTCTCAATTGGATTAGAAATGTCGTATATAACCGTAGCTCAAACAAAGGAAAAGGCCATCAATATTTGGCTAGCAATCAACACAGCTCGACCGCTCCGAGGCCAGCACTGGGTGACTGACAGTGAATTTTATCATTATACTAGACTGTTATGGTTAGAAAATTTCCTTTTATATCGATATGTTATATATATTTAGATAAATACAATTGAATATATTCATATTCAATCGTATGGTTTGCATCTATTCAGCAAAATATAAACACAACTTATAACACGAAATATGAATTTAAAAAACAGCAACCTCTTTGAAATTTTTTATTGAGTTCATAATAACATAGTTTGTTATTTGACAATAAATCAGTTTTATAGATAGTATTGGACTATTTTCATTATGTATTCATCCGCTTTAGACATCGAATATTGAACACTCTGGCTAGATGTATATATATATATATATATATATATGTCGATTGAATGAAGATTTGCAAGAGGCAGAGACTGAACTTCTCGGCCTTTTTAAGAAAGTCCTGCATTTACGATTCTAGATATACTGCGATCGGCTTTTCTAAATTTTCAAGTTTTGCCACCCCGAAAGCTCGTTGAAAGCCGAACGTGGTCGAGCGTGAGTGTTGCTGAGCAAGCAAATGCACACATTGTCTCATTTTGCTGGCCATCAGTGCTCCACTGCTGCGCTAATACATGTTAACATGAGCATACTAAACGACAGGCTAAGTAATGGGCCGCTCCGATATCGTGCTAGTCAAGTACGTCCGCTAGTATCCTTAGACGCCACCAGGAGAAGTAAAGTATCTTCATAAAAGTTTCTGATCTTCTGATAATGTGTAGCTAATAGCGACTTCCGTATTTTAAGACTGCATGAAGACGGGAAGGCAGTAGTAGGTTGATGTTAAATAGGAAATGTGTTATTTTTTTCGTTTCGCTTTTTTTATGACGAGCAGAAGCGCATAACTTTTGAAGTTCAATGATGTCCGCTAAAAGGTGGCCATTATGCCGTAAAAATTTTGACCTCTATGTAATTACAGTAGGAGTGGGTATCAGCAGATATTTAACTAAAGCGAGTATTAACGTGACTCTGAATTTTGCAAATTTAGATGGTTTTCTTTCATAAACGCTGTATCGCCGACAAACATTTTTACGAACCAGCCCTATATTCGAAGAGCTTAAATAATGTTTTTAGTAAAAAGGCATACATATAGAGACAAAATGTCAGTTGGGATGCAATCCAATAGCCGGCTGTATCGTCTCAAATAGCTCATCTTGAGAATGAGGTAACTGATTAACTATGATTTGAGAATTTTATTTATTTATCGAACAAAAGTTGTAAATGTTTGTAGACAACTAGCTCGTTAACATCGTTTTCACCCGCATTTGAGGGCTGCCTTTAGGATAGAGCACTTTGACACGGATCTCTACATTCGAGTTCTCGGAATGCTCTATGTGTCTGTGAGATTTCAAGTCATCACACTCTATGTCTATTATACGCGTACTTACTTACCGAAGACGCACGCCTAGTACGTGTGTGTGCGTGCGTGCATGCGTGCAAGGGCAGAAGAGTTCCATCGTATGCCGTCAAACCTGTATGTCTGTTTGGTACTAGAACTGCCTTATTTAGAAAATACTGTGTTTTGAGTCAAGCAGCCTGTGCAGTGCTAGCAAATAATGTAGGCTGTTCTGAGCGTTAGACAGATGAGCGCTACCCCCACTTATGAACAGAAGATTATCAGACAAGAAACCAAATGGCTTCATCTTATTAACGAGAACGAAAGGTAATCAGCAGCGGAAAAAGAAGCGCTTCCCTTTAAAAAGACAGACTGTATTTTATTCGGAGTGGGGTTGCATACAGCATCAGTTTCGCCAAATTTCCGAGCGGCGATCTGGAGAGTAAAGCCAGTGTCCTTAGGATAGTCTAGGTGTATTGTCGGCCGGTCCGTTTAGCTTTCCAAGTATGTTAACAGTGTTTCCCGTAGCTACAGATTGCCCACAGGCTGGTGAAGTTACCCCACTAAACCTTAGCAAATCGGAGGGACTTTGAATATCACTAATATTAATTCGGTTCAGGTTTACGTCATCTGGCCGATGCGTGGGGTAATTCGCTTGCTATCTGATGATGTGAGGTCGACATATCAATTGACTTTGTTCTGGTTGTGATGGCCTACAATGTCGCGAAGAGTAATCAAGCAGTTGACCTATATAGAATTCTATACAATATGTAGAAACGTGTGATATTGCATCTCTTGCTGTAATTAGAAAAGAACCGTCGTCAGTTGATAAGCTCCATATTTATCTATGTATAAGAATAAGCTTTTACCTCTACACATAAAAACAACTGTTTTGTTCTAACATGAGCCATGTCCGTATAGGTAAGACATCGACTTTAGTATTTCTTCGCGAAGAAAGCGATTTTGCGCCCCGTATCGTATCTAGTCTTCCAACATTACTGTCAACTCTTACAGAAACCACGTATTAATAGTTTGGATTTTTCTAATTTATTGTATAATATATGTAGTGAGCGTATAGTATCGACATGTTGGGACGAACCAACTGTTAGGCATAACTTCTAGATGGAAAGATTTTCTAAATCCCCGTGTCAGCCCAATCAGAACACTGTGTGACGCGTTCAGCGGCTGTATGATGATATTAATGCAAGATCAATTTAATAAATAAATACCAAATGCTTATTCTAATAAGAGTATCGATGCTAAGTAGGAATCATCAAATCTGCATTGCTGTCCCACAATAAAAACTTGATTCCATCATGAAAATCAGCGATGTATGATGAAGGGTACAACTGAGGTTCTGCGGATTGCAACGATCTGTGATCTGAAACCGTACTCCGAATTATAGACTAGAATGCATTCAATGCCTTTTCAGTTTGGCCAAGCCAATCCTCGGAGGGTAATCGTGCACTGCCATTGCCACTAGAAAAAGTAAAGCTTTATTTACATTCAATGAATATCATGTTTCCTATGTCGTATTACCGAGGAAAGCTTAT